GTATACATAGACGTGTTATTTTGAGCTCCGTCTTTTCGATCTCATTTCTGCCGCTTTTTGCCCCGCTGGAGCCTCTATTTTTTCAGACTTGTGATCAAAGCTCTTTGCTTGACCATTGATCATTTTTCGGTGTGTTTCTGGAGTGCCTTTGAATACTCTGCTGACATTTTCTTCTTTGGATTTTTCAATTGGATTGTACTGAATTTTCTGCTGTTATCGGATCGGATTTTGACAGTCATCCTGCCCTCTCTACCTCGGCGCGGGATTGCGGGAGGCGGGCCTTTCTNTCACAGCCGTTGATATGTTGGCGCGAGGCACCCCCTCTTCTTCTGGTTCGAATGACAGTTCACTGGTCTTGGATTCAAACAGTGGAGACAGACCACATGGCGTTCTTACTAAGCAACTGTCATCTGCGTCTTTGTTTACAAGCAAGTCTCGCGGTATGTCCACGGGAATAATTATGAGTCCGTCTAAAGTATATGCGTTCAAACAATCGTTAGCTAACCATTCTGATAATGTCTCGAGAATACTTCTCTCGAGCAAAGAATCTTTAGATAAAAGAAGGGAAATAGAGTCGGCTTTCAGGACCTGCCGCGAGGCTTTCTCTGAGCTCTCCGCGGTATACTTAGCATTGCTAGAGAAAGAGAACAATGCCGTTACGATTGAATCGGTCAAAGAAATGATAACGGATGCAGTTTCTAAGATGCGTTCAGACACTCTGCTGCATCGATCGGCCGGACTTATGTCCGAGGATGGCTCTGCACCTTCCGTCTCGTATGCTGCTGCTGTGAAATCTGCGAGTTCTATTCGTGTTGCTCGTGGTCCTACTGTCGCCGTCAAGAAGTCCACGGATATTCTCATCGTACCTAATAAAGATCAAGGATGCAAATACTCATCGTCTAGTGAGACTAAGGAGGCTTTAAAGAGGATTATCAAGCCGGCGAATTTTAACTTGAAAGTGAACAAAATAACTTCTACGCGTAACAACGGTGTTCGTATTGAGGCTGCGACGGTTGATCTGCCAAAAATTAAAGATTCGGCCGAGCTTGCGAAAGCAGGACTTAAGGTGAAACAGATTGCTAAATCAAATCCTAGATTGATTGTTCACGGGGTACCTATTGGACTTAACAAAGAAATTATTAGATCAGAGCTTATTGATCTGAATCTGAATTCGCATGACTCGCCTGAAGTCAAGGTCATATATATATTTCCACCCAAGACGGATCGTACTACTACCAGTTGTATAATTGAGGTACCGCCTGATGTACGAACCATGTTGCGTCGCGAGCAACATGTCTATATTAATTTTTCATCGTGTGTCTTCGAGGATTACGTGCGAGTGCTTCAATGTTATAAATGTTTGGCATTTGGTCATCTGGCTAAGAATTGTAAGGGTGCAGCTCTATGTGGTCATTGCGCGGGCGATCACGAAATGAGAGATTGTCATGCGAAGAGTGAAGCTACCACTTGCGGGAACTGCAGAAGATGGTTGCATAGTGAATCAACACACTCTGCACTTGACGGGAAGAATTGTCCGATATTGATAAAAAGGCTGCAGGAAAAGATTAAAAATATAAATTATGAACAATTCTCGTAATCTGAGATTACTTCTCTGTTATTAATCTGAAAGTAACCAGACTGGTAAAATATTTATTGTTACAATGGAATCTAGCAATGTGGAGCAGCATCTTTTACGTGCGTGTCATGTAAACTGTCAATCCTTGATGGCGCATTTAGACGAATTTCGGTTATTTTTCACCAACTCTAAATATGATATTATTTGTCTTTCGGAAACCTGGCTTAAGCCTACTATCCTGGATCAGATTGTCGAATTACCAGGCTACCAGCTACTTAGATGTGACAGAATTGGCAGGATGGGAGGTGGAGTTGCGTTATTGCTGGCAGATACACTTAATGTTAAGACTTTGACAACATCTAGCGGAGAATATTGTCGCAAACCCGAATTTTTAATTGCGGAGGTCTCTTCTGGTGGTGAGAAAGTTATAGTTGCAGTCGTATATAGACCGCCGCACTGTGGACATTTGACTGAATTCTTCACCATTGTCTCAGATATTTCTGTGCAGTACAGACACTGCATAATTTTTGGTGACTTTAATGTTGATCTTTTGCAAACTACGTATGATTCACATTTGATTTCTACTTTTGTCACTTCATCATCCATGCATCTTGTTCCATATGCACCGACACATCACACTCAAACGTCTTCAACGTTATTGGATCTGTGCATGGTAGACAATGCTGAGAAACTGAAATCTTTCCAACAGCACGACATTGGAT